CCTATGATGCATTAACAACTACTAAATATTTTTTCGAGAAAACACAAGTTTAAGATGCATTAATAACTATAAAACGGTTTTTTCAAAAAGATGCAGTTCAAAGATTCATTAATAACCATAAAACGAATTTTTTAAAAACACAACCCGACGAGGCATTTATAACCACAAATTTTTTTTTTATAAAAAATATGCAACCTTATGATGCATTAATAAGTTAATAACTATACAATGGTGATTTAAAAAAATGCAATCCTATGATATATTAATAACCATTAAACGGTATTTTTCAAAAAGACGCAACCCTAAGATATTTTAGTAACCACAAAACGCTTAAGACGTAACTCTATAATGTATTAATAACCATAAAACATATTTTTTTGAAAAGACGTACACAATGTTAGTTGCTTTAATAACCATAAAACGGTTTTTTGTTTGTTGAAAAATGCAATCCTTGATGCATTAGTAACCATAAAACAGATTTTTTTGAGAAGACGCAACCTTAGATGCTTTAGTAATCATAAAACTGTTTTTTATAAGACGTAACTCTTAGATGTATTAATAATCATAAAACAGTTTTTTCGAAAGGACGCAACCATAAAATGTTTTAATAGCCATAAAACGATTTTTTAAAGACGCAACTCTAGAATGTATTTTCTAGGATTGCTATGATTAATTCGAAAAGACGCAACCCTTAGATGCTTGAATAACCATAAACAGTTTTTTTATAAGACACAATTCTAGGATGTATTAATAACCATAAGATGGTTTTTCGAAAATACGTAACTCTAAAATTTTCTAATAACCATAAAACGGTTTTTTCCGAAAAGATTTGGAAATAACCATAAAGCGGTTATTAAAAAAGATGCAATCTTTGGAAATAGCCATATTTTCGAAAGCACAAAACCATAAAACGGTTATATCGAAATACGTAATCCTTGGAAATAACCATAAAACGGTTATATAAAAAAAACAAAATCTTTGAAAAATGATTATATCGAAAAAACCTAATTTTGAAAAACGGTTATATTAACAAGATGCAACCTTTGAAAATAACCATAAAGCGATTATTTTCGAAATGACACAACCCAAAAATATTCATTTTCTAGATTGCTAATATTAATATGTTAACGCGGCTTCAATATTTCGATGTATACAATCCAAAAAGTTGCTTTCAAATAGTATAAGAATATGTGTTTCCATAGAGAACTGTTAAATTTAAAAACTCATTACACCACCACCCATTTCCGAGAAAAATATAGTTGAAAATTTTATTAGTTTTTAATATTTAAAAGCCATAAAATCTACACCGTCTAAAAAATTAAAATTCTTTCCCTTCAATTATTGGTTAAGGTTATGGACATCCTACTTAAAAAAATTTAAACAAAAAACAAATAGAAAATAGAACAAACCATATAATCTTTACCACTTTAACCATCGTATTCGTAATCGTAGTATTCAACATTAGAATTTTCGAGCTGATATCATCAATATTTGTATTCAAAATATTTTAACTATAGAAGATGTTTGTCTAAACTTGTAAAGTTTTGACCAATATCAAAACAAAACAACATAACTAATAATGCTTAGGGTTTATATTTAGGGATCAAACATCAAAATATATACTTATAAAAAACAAAACCAAAAACTTGTAATGCTGCTCCAAGGATAGAAAGAGCTAATTCTATATCTCTGAGATCCGACAGAAGTTTAAGTGAATGAAAGCCGACATTTGCTAGAACTCCTCGGTGTAGACGATAACTCTAACAGCATCTTGTGTTTCGTTTCCAGATTAGTGAATGGTAAGGATCTAATAGCCATTGTCTTTAGCTGTCCAGAGTTCTCTAACAAATACATCACCACTTTTTTCTCTGGTTCTGTTCCTATGTAACCATTCCACTCAACAGACTCGAGACTTGAAATCAAACATTCCGGAATAGAAGTCGGTTGCTCCCACTGAGTTTGTACATCTCGGTATCTAGTGCAACATCTCAGAAGATTATCAATGTCTGGATTCAATTCTACTGGACGTTCGAATCTGAGAACTCAGAGTAAAGGGGTATGTCCGAGAGTATAAGACGGAGCCAATCTGAAGAGCATGTACAGAGTTTCAGAGACACAAGCTGAGAGAAGGCGGCTATAGGATATGGATCCTGCAAGTAGAATCATAGGTTAAGGGGACTGCTAATATGTAAACACAAAGAGA